AAAAAAAAAAAAAAAAAAAAAAAAAAGAAAGAAAGAAAGAAAAGCTAAGTTGCAAAATGGCTTACCCAACTCAATTCACAATATACAATGGTAGTTTAAATTTCTTCCCATTTCCTGACTTCTTGAAAGCAACCAAACATCTACTACGTAAAACTTCAATTAGCATCCCTTTCCTCAGAGAGACGCAACAGTCCGTTTTATGCGGGCTCCTAGGTAAGATAGATCAGCCTACCCTTGGTTTTTGGTTGGTTTTTTATAGAGCTGGTTCTTTCATTGTTTGCTTGGCCAAGTGCAGGCTCTTCTCTCTGTTCGCCCACGTTTAAGGTGGAAATGGCCAGGGCAAGTTCGCCTCTTGCGTCCTCTCCAGCCCTCGATTCCAGGAGAATGAACTGCTCCTCCACTCCTTGAGGCCCTCCTCCCTCCGCCACCGGCTGGTGCTCCTCCTGACCTTTCTCAAGCTGAAAAAAAACCCAAACATTCAAGCAGACACAACAGTATTAATTGTAGTGTGATTAAGCTTTTTGCCTTGAACCTGGGAATACATAAATAAAAGCCAAAATTAAAGATCATGCATTGCAATCAAAATGTTTAAGCCATAATTACTTACGGTTTTCGGGGCAAAAATTAACTTTTAAAATAAACATGATGTACTTTAGTCTATTCATGTTAGCATAGCTTTTCATTTGTATTTGTTCTTTTTGTCTTTTTGAGACAGGGTCTCACTGTGCCGTTCAGGCTGGCCTTGAGCTCACTTTGTAGCCCAGGCCAGTCTGGAAGTCACACGATGCTCCTGCCTCAGACTCCAGAGTGCTGGGATTACAGGTGTGTGCCACCATGCCTGGCCTAGCACAGTTTTTAAACTCCTTTGAAAAATAAGATGTCAGGATTTTCCGGGTGGTGGGGTGGGAGGGTCTTTTTACAGTGTTTCATTTCAAGTTGCAAAACTGCTCACCCAACTATTATACTGCACAAAAGCTGAGCTTTAAAAAAATTTATTTTGTGTGTCCGTGTGTGTGGGGGTCGGGTGCGGGGCAACAACCAGTTGTACCTTCGTCAATTCTGAGTTTTCAGACAGGCTCCCTGCTGGCTCAAGGTTTTCCTTGGCCACCTCCAGGCTCTGCTCCAGCAGGTGGAATTTCATGCCCTCCAGCTCCGGCACTAGGGATAGCTCCTCCTGGACACCGAAGACTGCGCCCTGCTGCACGCTGGGCGGGGGCTCCTCCTCCAACCACAGCAGTGCCGGGAACGGGCCCTCGGCCTCCTGCAACTCCACCTGCACCTCCTGCATGTGCTGTATGTCCAGCCAGCCTGTGTTCAGCAGCTCCAGGTGCTCCGGAGCCAGCGGTGCTGGCTGCAGCGTCAGGATGTGCTTGTCGCCCTCGGCAGTGGTCTCCACCAACTCCAGCCTCCCTTCCAGCAGCAGGGCCTGCAGCAGCTCGTGGCTGCCTATGGGCGCAGGCTCTCCAGCGCTCTGCAGGTCATGCACTCGCGGGACCCTGTCTACCTCCTCCTGCCCTTTCTCCAGGGTCTCCGTCAGCTCTTTGATGCTGGTGAAATGCTCAGAGGGGACAGAAAGCCCGGGGGCCTCCATGGCGATGTGGCCTGAAGGGGAAGAGAAGCTTGTAGTCTTGTGGGGTTCTGCAGGGCAGGGGGCTGCTGGGCTTCAGGGGCTGTCCACGCTGGGACAAGCGGTCTAGTCTTGAAAGGCTTCGGGCCCTAAAGGGTCAGACTGTAAGGCCCTGGCGGTGGTGCGGGCTGAGGCTGCAGCCGGCGTAGGATGGGGCAGGGCCCCTGCACACCGCAGGCTAGCACGTCTGGACCTGGGTACTTCTGGGGCCCATGCACACCACGTCCTCGGTGGGTTGCCACAGTGCACGAGTCTAGGCCTAGCACCGCGAAGGCAGGCGCAACCCTGCTGCGGCCCTCCACGAGTCTGCTCTGTGGCTACCACCTCCCGCTCCCAGGATGCTCCCGCTTTGGCCTACCTCAGACACAGCCTGGCCAACCCCCCGGGGGCTCCCTCACAGTGGGAGGTGTGGCCTTGCGCCCACCCACGCGTTCCCCTTGAGCTCCACCTCCGCACCTCCTGTGCAGCTGCCGCTGCCACCGCCGCCGCAGCCGCCGCCGCCGCCACAAGGGTGCGCACGGTGCGCAGGCGCAGGGCGAGAAATGGGGCGGGGCTGGGAGAAGAGGCGGGAAAGTGGGGGTTGGGGAAGAGTGGGGGTGGCGGGAGGGGAGTGGGGTTGTGAGGGAGCGTGGAGGTGGGAGAGGGGCAGCGTAGGGGGAGGTGGGCGGGCGGCGTAGTGGGGTCCTGGAGGGGAAACGGAGCCCTGGAGGAATGATGGGCAGGGCGAAAGGGCCCTGTAGGGGGCGCTGAGGAGCCTGCGGCCATGATGGACGGGGAGGGCGAAGGGGCCCTGTAGGGGGCGCTGAGAGTTGTGGGGGCCATGATGGAGAGGGGGTGGAGGGGCCCAGTGGGGCTGCTGAGAGTTGTGGGGGCCATGATGGAGAGGGGGTGGAGGGGCCCAGTGGGGGCGCTGAGAGTTGTGGGGGCCATGATGGAGAGAGGGTGGAGGGGCCCAGTGGGGCTGCTGAGAGTTGTGGGGGCCATGTGGAGAGGGGGTGGGGAGGCCCTATAGGGGGAGGTGAGAATTCTGGAGCCTGACTGGTAGGGGGAGTGA